CACTCACCTGGAGCCAGCTGGATCTGGACTCTCTGTTTCTCTTCGTACTACTCATTGTTACATTGGTAACATTGTTACACAGGCAGCCTGAAATTGGCCATGATGCGGTATTTACACTATGGAAACTGGCCACTTTTCTTACAGCAAGCTGGGCTAAAACTTAGGCATTTACCACCGGCTCCTACGTGCTTGCCTCCAGACCACAGCGAGGCCACCTTTCTTGGGGTGGTGCTCACGGGGCACCACGTGGAAACCCAGCTCCAATGCCGCCTGCCTGCATGGCCTTACCCACAGCTTTGTGCCTCGTGTAGCAGAGTGGTATGTGGCAAAACGAGGCAAAGTGTGTGTAAAGCCTGTCTTTTCCGTGCCTGGCACGGCACACGCGTGTACAGGGCAGGTGGGCTGGAATGCAGGCTGTGTGTGTGCTCGCGGAAGGAGAGCCTGCCCTGGATGAAGGAAAGGGTTAGGGTCTCTCCAGCACACGCCCCCCCTGCACTGCTGTCCCTCTCCCTTTTGGTCCCACCCCATATCCATCAGGAGGCCTGAGCCCTCCCGATCCCTGAGGCCCACCCTTCCGCCCGGCCATCTCCCCAGGCCCCTCCTGCCAGGACCGGTGGGCAGAGGAGCCACTGTGGCCCAGGGCCTCTGAGGGTGAGGGTGTGGGCGGCCAAGGAGAAGGGTGGCTTTGTGCTGAGGGCTGCATAGGGCCAGCAGGCGCCAGCTCATAGGCCCCTCCCCTCCTCCCCCCACCCCGCCCCGCCTGACCCCCTCAAGAATGCAACGCTGCCATCCACAAGAAATGCATCGACAAGATCATCGGCCGATGCACCGGCACCGCGGCCAACAGCCGGGACACCATGGTAAGGCCGGGCCTTCGCCGGCTGGAGGGGTTGGGACCCCCCCACCTTCCCTCTGGGGCTCACCCTCCTTTCCCTCGTCTCTGCCCTCCTTGCTTCTCGCCTGGGCTCTTGGGACTTCTGGGCCCCAGCGGGTCGCCTTGGGCGTCTGTACTGTGCGTGGGGTTGGGGGAAGGTGAGAGCTAGAGCTGGGGGTGACTCCTGCCCTGTGACCTCTCCACCCCAGTTCCAGAAAGAGCGCTTCAACATCGACATGCCGCACCGGTTCAGGGTGTACAACTACATGAGCCCCACCTTCTGTGACCACTGTGGCAGCCTGCTCTGGGGGCTGGTGAAGCAGGGCTTGAAATGTGCAGGTGTGTGGCCCTGGGGCTGGACTCGGGAGGGGCCCTGGGGCCCTGCTCACCCAGACCTCTCAGACACTTAGCCGCCCACCGCTGCGAGCTGAGCTAACTGCCACTGCCCAAGGAGGGCAGGTCTTGTGGGGAAGGCCAGGCGCCTCTCACGTGATCACTGGACAGGAATGGGTAGCATGACCCCTCTGAGCCTCGGTCTCCTTAGGTGCCAACTGAGGGTGTGGGGAGGGCCCCACCAGCCCCTGTGAGGTGCAGGGAGTGCTCGCCCAGGGCCTGGGCCAGCCCACTGTGCCCATAAGCTGCTTCACCCAGACCTTCTCTGAAGGGCTTCTGGTCAGAGCCCAAATCTTCTACTCAGCATGTGATGCTCAAGAAATGAGACCCCACAGACCCAACCAGAGCCCTGGCTTCTCCATCTCTCCCTGCCCCCTCTCCACAGACTGCGGCATGAACGTGCACCACAAGTGTCAGAAGAAGGTGGCCAACCTCTGCGGCATCAACCAGAAGCTCCTGGCAGAGGCCCTCAACCAAGTCAGCCAGGTGGGCGGGCCCGGCTCGGCCTCCCTCGGAGCGGAGGGCGCTCACCCCTTCAGGAAGGGAGTCAAGAATGAGGCGGGCGGCAGAGGGAAAGTGGCTTGTTTTCACTAGAATCAGATTCCCAATCCAGTCTCACGGGAGGGGGAGGTGCCCTGGGGGGCCTTAAAGTTAATTGCATGAAGTCTTTGACATACAGGACGAGTAGGTGCGCGTGCGCGCTCAAGTGCGAGAGTTGCGTGGGTGGGTGTGGGAATTGAGTGTGTATGATGTGCTAGAGAATGTGCATGTGTGACATTAGTGTGAGTGAGGGTGTGTGTGTGTGCCTGTGAGTTGAGTGTATCTGAGCGCATACGTGTTTGTGTGAATGTGAATGGGTGTGCGCGCACCTCTGAGTTGAGTGTATTATGAGTGTGTGTGCGCATGTTTGAGTGCATGTGAGTGGGTGTGTGTGAGTGCATTTGTGGGTTGAGTGTATGTGAGGTGGTGAGTGAATGGGTGTGTGAGTGTGTGCATGTGTGTGTGCCTGTGAGTTGAGTGTATATGAGTGCACTGCGTGTTTGCACAGTCATTTGTGCTTGGGTGTGGGTAGATTGCTACACAACTCTAAAGTCAGGCTCTAAATTCCATCAGCAGTAACACAAATACAGGTCTATCAAGTTAGTCGTAGGGAGGTGGGAGTCAGTTTATAAGGCTCTGGCCGAAATGCTTGCCTCCCAGGCCACTGTGGGTCTGTGGGCATGTCTGTGGGCACCGCCAAATGGTCCGGGCTCTGGCCCTATGTACTCTGCCGGCATCGTGGGTCGGGTGAGGACTGGGGCTCTGACAGGTGTGACCTCCGACCTCTGCCCTCTCCCCAGAGGTCGTCACGCAAGTCAGACTCGGGGTCAACAGACTCTGTGGGGGTCTACCAGAGTTTTGAGAAGAAGTCTGGAGTCTCTGGAGATGATACCTTAGGTAAAGCACCCCTATACCAGCTTCCTCCCGCTACCCAATGTGACCAGGGCAGGGGCAGCCCTTGTGGGGAGAAGATCCCTTGCCCCAGCTGCCCTCTCCGCTGAGGGCTGGTAAGGAGCAGGGTCCAGACAGAGGCCTGGGCTTAAGCCACATCTCGTGGGCAGATAACGGGACCTACGGCAAGATCTGGGAGGGCAGCACCAGGTGCACCGTCCAGAACTTCACCTTCCACAAGGTCCTGGGCAAAGGCAGCTTCGGGAAGGTGAGTCCTGACCGTGGGCTGAGGGGCCCTGGGCTGGGGGTCTGCAGCTGGGATCTCCCCTCCCCCCACCCACCCATGGGCTGGCCCTCAGCCCCCCCACTCCCACCCCCCGGCAGGTGCTGCTGGCGGAACTGAAGGGCAGAGGGGCGTTCTTCGCCGTCAAGGCCCTCAAGAAGGACGTGGTGCTCATCGATGACGACGTGGAGTGCACCATGGTGGAGAAGCGCGTGCTGGCGCTAGCCTGGGAGAACCCCTTCCTCACCCACCTCTACTGCACCTTCCAGACCAAGGTGCCCACCCACCCCCACCCCCAACCGCCCAACCCCCACTGCCGCCGCCTCTTGGGAACAGGGCCGAGTCTCCCCCTCACGTCCATGCCCCGGGCGGGGTGGTCTCCTCAGCCGAGGCCTGTCTCCCCGTGAGGAGCGTCCTGCCCACCTCCGTGCCTCCCCCACCCCAGGACCACCTGTTTTTTGTGATGGAGTTCCTCAATGGGGGGGACCTGATGTACCACATCCAGGACAAAGGCCGCTTCGAGCTCTACCGCGCCACGTACGTGAGACCCCGGGCAGAGGCACAGGGCTACACCACTGCAGCACTGCCTCCTGTCTGCCCCCGACCCTGTCCATGAGAAGCCAGCTTGTGCTGGAATTGGGGTGGAATTCTAGGGGCACCCTGGGCCCACCATGTGCAAGGCAGGCCAGACCCTGTCCCCTCCTTGGCCTGGAGCCAGAGCAGCTTATTTGATGATCAGGCTTTCCCAACCTGAGATCCCACCCCTCGCCTGTGAGTGAATGAATGTGTGTGTGTGTGTGTGTGTGTGTGTGATAGTGTGCATGAGCGTGTGTGCATGTGTGAGTGCGTGAGCATCTGCACGTGTGTGAGCGTGTGTGCATATGCATGTGTGTGTGCATGAACTGCGTGTACATGTGTGAGCGTATGTGCATATGCATGTGTGGGTGCGTGAACTTAGGTGTGTGTACATGTGACTGTGTGAGCATGTGTGGGTGCAGGAGTAAGTGCGTGAACGTGTGTGCATGCAGATGTGTGTGTGAGCGTGTGCATATGCATGTGTGGGTGTATGTATGCACGTGTGCATGTGTGGGTGTGAATGTACATGTGAGAGTGCATGAGCATGTGCTTGCACATGCGTATGTGGCGTGTATGTGTGTATGTGTAAGTGCTTGAGTATGTGTACATAAGCACACGTGTGAGTGTGCATGTGCACATGTGTGAGTGTGTGCGTGATCCGTGAATGTGGAAACCCATGACTGAGGAGAGAGCCAGTTGGTTCGGAGTGTTTCCCTAAGCATTTTCTTCAGCGCCTCAGCTGCTGCCCCCACTTGCTTGACCGGGGATGAGCCTGCTCGGGCCCCAGCCAGTCTGTGCAGCATCTCCTGCCCCTGGGGTGGGTGAGGACATGGGCAGCACCGCACTGGCCCACAGAAGCCCTGGAACATGTGCTCTTTCTACCCCAGGTTCTATGCAGCTGAGATCCTCTGTGGGCTGCAGTTTCTACACAGCAAAGGAATCATTTACAGGTGCGGGCTTGCTCTGAATGCTCCCAGCTGGGCCCTCGTGTGGAGGCAGTGTGCGCTGGCCATTCCTCCACATTCCCATCCGATGTGGGCACGCCTGCACAGCTGCAGTGGGGGAGCTCGTGGGCAGCCGGGGCAGGGCGAGCAGCACTGACCGCTGTAGCATCTGCCCTTTGGACCAAGCAGTCTTTTCTTATTTTTAAGCATTTCTGTTCCCCACGTGCGGTGCTCAGGGCTGTAAGTCACGCAGCCTCCTCCACGCTGCTTCTTCCCCGTTCCCTGCACACCAGGCTAGGCTTGCAGCTGCTTTGTCAGTTTGACCCACGGAGGGCTTTCTCTAGGGCACGGTGCCCGCAGCAGAGGGTGCACTGGGGACGCTGAGCGGCTGCTGGGTTTCCAGAAGGCTCCAGGAGAGATTTTGGGTGTGACACCGAAAGGTTCACTGGCCTTCCTGACTCTAAAGTCTGGAGTCTCTGAAAATGCAGAACTCTTCCTTCCCCTCTTTGGACCAGGCTTTCTCTGCATCTTTGATCCAGTGTTCGCCGTCCACTTCTTCTCGGCATCAAGGAGCCTTTCTCTCCAGTCCAGCTGGGCCATCTGAATAGCCACCGATGGGGACTGGTTCCTAAACGATTGCCCATCCAACCATGGGGCACAGTGCATCTGCTCAAGAGGCTGAGGCAGAGCTGGGGTCCTGGTGCGGGAGAAGGCTGTGCATGGTGGTGGGGAGATGGGCGCCCTTTGAGGGGCAGCGTGTGCCCAATGTTGGGGTGGAAGTTTAAAGGTTGGGGCGAGACCCCCCCACTGGGATCTGCTTGTCCGGGTGTAGGATCCTGCCGAGGGGGCTGAGGATGGAGAAGGAAGGGTCTGGTGACCTCTGCTCTGTCCTGCTTAGTCCTTACTCTTATGGACATGACTGTGCGGTACCCAACTCGAGAGCCCACTTCTCAGAAGTAGCCATTACGGGGGTGAGGTGGGGTCCGGTGGATTAAATAACATCAAAGAACCGCGTTTGGGCAGGGTCCCATGGACACAGCCCCAGACACCCACTGCTGTAGGACTGCAGCGTGGTGCTGCCAGCGCCTCCTCGCGGCGCTGCCAGCGCCTTCTCGCGGCGCTGGAGGTGCAGAGATGTGCATGCAAGTGCCCCTGAGGGTGGGACATCCTCGCAGGGGACACGGCCATGGAGATGCAGTCTCCCTTGACCACCAGCGTGGGTGACTCTGGAGCCAGACCACGTGCTGAAGGACATCCGTCAGACACGGGACACGGGTTCACACACTGGGAGAAGCCGTGCACCGCCGCAGAGGTGGTGACCAGGCGGCGAGAGGGGAAGGAGAAGCACGGCTGGACGGGCAGAAGCCCCTCCTCCTCAGCGTGGAGGTGGCTGGAGCCACTGCCCTTGCTGTTAGCAGCCCCAGTGTCTCCCCTGTGCCACCAGGGTGCTTGCTTCTGGAGCAGGGCCAGCCGATAGGCACTGAGAGATTGGGCAGGAGAGCGGGGCCACGGCAGGATGGAGCCCTGGTGGAGCCGGGGTTTAGCACCGGATGCCAACCAAGGGCTGATGGTTTGAACCCGTCACCTGCTGAGAGGAAAAGATGTGGCAGTCGGCTGTCACCCAGCGGAGACTCACAGCCCTTTGAGTGGAGGCATAAGCAGTCGGGCATGCTAATTAAGAGAAGGGGTCAAAGGGCACGGCCTCTGCGTGCACACGTGGATGTGGCGTATTGGGTGTGCGGAAGGCACAGTTACAGAAGCCAGGAGACGAGTAAGGGTCACAGCCTGAGGACACTCCACAGCCTCTAGTGAGTCTCAGGGGCCTGGGAGCAGCCACCTGAGGAGCCATGATGCTCTCGTGCCGCCAGCCCGGAGCGTGAGAGGAGGAAGAGACACAATGCGGAGAAGCTGTTAGTCCAGAGAACTAGGGGCCCACAGGAACTGCCGCCGACCCGAGACCAGGAGGCCTAGATGCTGCCCCACTTCCACAGCCGCCCACCCCAACCCAGTGAGACCCTATTGATCGAAAATCTCAGTGCGTCTGAGTGAAGGTGCAGGGCGGTCAGCTGGAGCTTCAGAAGGGGCCAGGCCTTCTGGTGAGAGAGGGGCCGCCAAGACTTTGCCCAGCACCAGAGATGCTCCCCAGCCACCTTCCAGCAGACCAGTGTTGTGGGCCCCGTGAGCCCAGAAAGGCGGCATCTGCAACAAGAAGATGGGGAATGAGTGGGAACCAGCTGGGAGGCCCGTGGGGAAGGGGGAGCGCCCGCACGTGCGGGATAGCAAATGTTCACAGAACACTGTTCATGAATGGTTCGTTAGGGAGACGAGTTTGCTTTATAAAGCCCAGCAGAATGGTTTTAAAGAGGAAGCCGAGCGGAAGAGCCCCAGGAAGATCTCACAGGAGCAGGGTCTTCCTTGGGACAGGTGCACGCTCACGCTCACACACCAAGCAGAGACGCCTCTGTGTCCTCGCGTGGGTTCTGACCCACAGCCACCCTCCGTAAGACAGAACCAGACACCATGGGCGTTTCCGGTTTTGGCCATCGGTGCAGCCCAGTGCCGCTCCACCTCCTTGAGGGCCTCCCTCCCTCTCACTCCACCAGGACGATGCCCTTTTCCAGGGGCTGGTCTCTGAATGAGGCAGAGCCCCCTCCCGGCCTCTGAGGGGTGCTCTGGCTGTGCTTCCAAGACATCCGTCTGTCCTCTGTCCACCCGTGGTGTTTCCAGCCCTCGTCACTCTCCTCTGAATTCAGACACGTCGTCATCTCGGGTCTCCCTAGTTAGTGCCCAACTTCTGCGTGCGTGTGTGCGTGCGGGCGGGTGATTGGGGCACCTCCATCCTCAGTCACATCCTTGTGTCCCCACTGTATGAGCGCCTAAACCCAGGCTCCGGCCTCTTCCCAGAGGGAAAAAGGGCTGGTTGCTCCAGCCTGAAACAAAACAAGAGGTCGTCTTACTCCATGGGGTGGGGTGGACTGGAGTCTGTGGCCTCTCTGCCCCTGGTCACCTGGGAGACGTGGCTGAGTGAGGCCCCATGTCCCAGTCTCGTCTTGGGCTTTGGGAAATGGCACAGTGTGTGACGGCATCAGCGCTCAGTAGGCAGCACCATGAGGATGAATTATGTCAGCCTCTCTTCTGCTGCAGCCGTGGGCTGCCACCACCTGGCCTGCACCCTGGATGGGGGGGAGCCTGGCCTGCACCCTTGTGGAGGGAGAGGGGGGAGGCAGGTCTTAGGTGGACATGAGTGCTAGGGTTGGGAGGCCCTCTGACCGTCCTCTCCCCTCAGGGACCTCAAGCTGGACAACGTGATGCTGGACCGGGATGGCCACATCAAGATCGCCGACTTTGGGATGTGCAAGGAGAATGTGTTTGGGGAGGGGAAGGCCAGCACCTTCTGCGGGACCCCCGACTACATCGCCCCCGAGGTGAGTGGTGTCCCTGCCAGACCCGGGTCCACTCGGCCAGGGGTCCGCTCCGCTGACATGCCGCCCCCACCCAGATCCTGCAGGGCCTCAAGTACTCCTTCTCCGTGGACTGGTGGTCCTTTGGGGTCCTCCTCTATGAGATGCTCATTGGACAGTCGCCCTTCCACGGCGACGATGAAGACGAGCTCTTTGAGTCCATCCGCGTGGACACGCCGCACTACCCCCGCTGGATCACCAAGGAGGCCAAGGACATCCTGGAGAAGGTGGGCCTGGCCGCCGCCGCTGCTGTGCCACACCAGGCTACAGGCAGACCCGACGTCCGGGCCTGGGGGAGGAGAGCACTGAGTCAGCTGTGCGTGGCAGACCCTGGCTCTGCCGGTGACTCCCCGGGGCCTGGCCCAGGTCACGCAACCTCTCTCAGGGTCTGTTTCCCGTACGTCTACAAAGGGGCTGGTCAGAGAAGCAGCCTCCCTCGAAGAGGGGCCATCTGGAGAAAGTGGCCATGACACCCGCTCTGTGCCAGGCAGGGCACCACACTCACTCAGCAGCCCCTGCTTTTGCTCATAAGTCCCACCTGCCCAGGGCCCTAGGCCCTGAGGACCTTGGGGGTGCAGCCTGCCAAAGAGCCCCGCCCCCAGGACTCCCCAGGCTGTGCTGCTGGGCGAGCTGGACCCATCTGGACAAACAAGCCCCTGGGGGCCTGTTGGGGGTTTGTTGGGGCGGCAGTTTCCCAAGGCCTCCGGGTGCTGACCAGGCCCTCTGGTTGCAGCTGTTTGAGCGGGAGCCATCCAAGAGGCTGGGTGTGACAGGGAACATCAAAACCCACCCCTTCTTTAAGACCATCAACTGGACCTTGCTGGAGAAGCGGGAGGTGGCGCCACCCTTCAAGCCCAAAGTGGTACGTAAGCCCCCAGCTGGCGGGCGGGTGGGCTGCACTGTTGACTGGGATGGGCGCCACTTCACCTGTTACCCTGACTCCCCCTTGCCCTGCCTGCAGCCGGCCTGCACCCCCAGCGCCTCCCCAGTGTTCAGTCACTGCCTCTGCCCTGTGCTCCACCCTCTCTCCCTCCCACAGCCCATCCACACCCAAATGCCTGGGTAACTAACACCTTGTGGACCTCTGGGGACCTGGCGCTGGGGCTCTGCTTTGGGAACTGGAGTTAGGGTCTTTGTGCGCCCTTTCCATCCCGTCCACTGTACAGTGAAAGTGGGCTGTTCCCCTGGAGGGCAGGGCTCTGGGTGTGGCTGTGAGGTCAGAGTCAGAGAGAGGGCTGACTCCCACACTGCTGATAGCTTGTGATAGGAGCCTGCAGGACGAGCCATGTCAGAAGCCACGCATGATCATTTGCCTTTGGGAGGGTCTGTCAGCAAGAGCCCAGGGTCTAGAGAATGGGGTGGGGGGTGGGGGGCCCTCAGGAGGAGTGGGGTGTGGGAAGGGCTGGTGAGACCAGGCCAAGCAGGGGAGGGTGGTGTGCAGAACCTGAAGATTCTGCCCAGGAACAAGCGAGGCTGGGCCAGGATGCAGAGAAGCCGGGGCCTAGGGGCGTCCTCAGCCGCTTCTGTCTGACCGCAGCCCTGCCGCCGTGCCTCTGCGCTTCTTCTCCCACCTGGACGCCATGTTCCCACTGGGCACCTCCAAATGTGCCACACTGGTGCTCTGAGACTCCGGAGCCCCAAGCTCAGATGCCACCCACACTGAACAGTCAGAGCTCAGGTGTGGAGCAGGCCCGCTGGCTGGCTGTCAGAGAAGCACACGGCCTCCCCCTGTGGCTAGAGAGCGGGCGGATCGGCGCTCACCGAGAAAGCCAGGCAGATGGAAGCAGGAGCAGCAGCGGGCCACAGGGAGGGAACATGCGGGTGAAGGGGCGGGGCTCCAGCGAGCTGCCCTGAGACGTGGGCTGAGGTTGACCCTGCTCCATCCGTTTTCAAAGAATTCTGGGTTTAGAAAGTTTCTGGTAGATTGTCCGATTTAAGAAAACATCTCTGAGCCCTCTAAACCAGTTGCTGGCTCCTCTCAGAGCTCCTGCTGTGGGTTCAGACCAACAGGTTAGAGGGTCAGCGAGTTTATGTTCATGGGAGGAACAGCTCGGAGAAGGCGGGAGACAGGGTTCCCAGCATGTTGTGCAGGAGAAACTGTTACATTGGCCCATGTTCTGTGTTCTCAACAAGTGAAATAAATCTTATTTTTAGAACTCCCCTCCCTGCAAACAAAAGCAGTTTGATCCGAGGGGCCCTGTTTGAGGCGCGTTGTGTCCTCAGGACAGAAGTTTCCCACCTCTTCCTACAAGCGGCCTGATGGTGCCCGTTTGAGGCTTTGCAGCCCCAGTGGGCTCCACATGCACAGGCAGCACATCCCCGGCGGGTGGATGCCGGTGGATGCCAGGACCTGAGCCTCATCTGATCCCATCTTGATCCCATCGTACTCGAACTCCCGGCTTCCTCCAGCCGCACCATACTCCGCTTGGGTTTAGTGGGCTGTGTCTGGCCACCGGCAGCCCCTTCCTTCCCCAGGCCCAGGCCCTCTTGCAGTGCCTTCGTCCTCTGTCTCTGTTGGGGATTCTCTCAGGCATAAGTAGAGATGGCTTCAATTCTCTTGGTATCTGCCGTCTGTCTAGTGATGTGCTTGTTGAAAGTGCGCACAGCAGCACACACATTGACCCGTGCTTTTCAGAGACGCGGGGCACTATCGGCGAGATGTGTAGCTACCCCGCCCCCCTCTGCTAAGGTTGCTCCTGGATGACCGTGAACTCAGCACCCCGCGGTTCCAGCTCACCTTCAGTCACTGTTGCCAGCGTGACCCACGTAGAGCAAGTGCTCAAGGCAGACACCCTTACGCGTTAGGCTAAGTTGGTGTTTGGCCTGAGAGGGAGACGTTGGGGCTATTTTTGGTTAGGGCTTCAGGGCAGTGTTTTCAGGGGATCCACTCAGCCTCTGTGCCTCCAGGAAATCTGGGTTCCATCAGAATTTGATCATCAGGCACAGTAGCCGCTGGGCACCACCCAGTCCTGCCTCCTGGCAGATTGAGCAGCTGTTCATGGAGACAGCTGGAGGCTCCTGATCGTTCCTGAACAAGGACCTGTGTGGCCTGGCCCTGAGGATGGGCCCGGGTTCCGGGATATCCCCCAGAGGTACAGGCCTGTTGGGAAGGCACGTGTTGAGGTCCCGCTCACCTGGCCCTGCCCTGTGTCCACAGAAGTCACCCGGAGACTACAGCAACTTTGACCAGGAGTTCCTGAGCGAGAAGGCGCGGCTCTCATTCAGTGACAAGAACCTCATCGACTCCATGGACCAGACGGCCTTCTCCGGCTTCTCCTTCGTGAACCCCAAATTTGAGCACCTCCTGGAAAAGTGAGGCCCTGAGACAGGACCCTGGGCCAGCCCCAGCCAGGGAGCCCTGTCCAGCCAGTACCTGGTCCATCAGGCAGCGTGGGCTGCACCCCCAGCCTCACACCTGCACCTCCCCTCCCTGAACCGTAAGCAACAGTGTGGTGGTTGTGATTTCTGCTGCTGCCTCTCCCAGGGCTCGGCCCACCTGGCTGCCTGTGTACGGTACATCCTCTGTGAACCACCATGTGTGAATGTGCCTCTCCTCTGCCCTCAGGGGGAAGTTGTAAATCCTGTGTGTCGTTACTTGAATGTAGTAATCTATTGAAGATATATACATTATATATATATGCACATATATATAATAGGCTGTACATAATGCTTGCTCAGTAGAGAGGAAGCATGCGGGGGACTGGTGATGTGTTAGTCTTTTAAATATATATATACATCAGACCCCAAAAGAAAAGAACACAAGCTATTCCAACCACCAGGCTGCTCTTTTGTGTCTCATGAACAGCAAATGGCAGGCATTGGCCCAGCCTGCCCCCATGTGTGTTCCCTGAAGCCAAGGCTGGCTGCCCCCACTGCTGGTAGCTTGGCTGGAAGCTGCAGACGCAGACTTCTGGTCCTTTATGCAAATGTGTTTGTATTTATGGGGTTCCTTTGACCCTGGGGTCCAGCTCAAAGCTCTTCTGGGTGGTTTGGGGTGGGGGAGGCCCATGGAGGAAATGGGGCCAGTCCCAGCAGCCTGTCCCAGGAGATTGAGGGGGCCTCCTGGAACTGCCTGAGGCTCAGGTGGAGCCCAGGGGAGGCTGGAGGCTGGGAATGAGGAAGGCCTGGGGCAGGCCCTCATCTCCTCGGCTGTTCTTGGGACCATGCAAGGGGGTGGTTGAACTCCCACCTCTCACTCTTGCAAATCCTCTGTTCCTACCACACTCAGAGGGGTCTCATCTCTGAAGTCTAGAACCTGTTTTCCAGGAACCCTTGCCTGCAGGAAGGCTCGCGAAGGAAACCGTGATAAGTGCCCTTAGGTGGCCACGGTGGAGGGGCAAGCTCAGACATGAAGGCCAGGGCCTGCTGCAGCCGGCCAGGCGATGCTGGGCAGGCTCCTGCCTTATTCCCCTTCCCGTGCCAGGCCCCTGCCCATGGGGAACCCTTACTCCCCTAGTGTGCTTTCCTCCTCTCTCCTGGGACACAGGTCTCGGGCCCACTCGCCCGCTGGTGCAGCCTGGAGGTGGGTAAGTGCTCCCAGCGCCTGATGAGCCGGCTGGCAGCAAGCCGCTGGTTTCCAGCAAGTACATTTTTCTGGGCTGAGGCACAAGTTTCCACAGCTGGAGAGGGCGGGTGAGGGGAACCAGCGTTGGCCAGGGAAGGAGGCTGCAGGACCCCATGTGGCTGATTGCCTGGAATACTAGGATTGGAAGGGGGGTGGGGGTGGGGGTGGGTGCGGCAGCAAGCTTTGCCCAGAGACCAATGCCCCCTCCTCTGTTCACACGCCAGTCACTGGTTCTGCGTTGGGTGGACACCCCCAGCAGCATGAAGACCCCGTGGAGTTGATGGTCCCCCGCATCATTGATCAGGTGAGGGAGATGGTGAGGTGTGGCTGGGCTGGGAGTGCCCACAGGACTGCTCTCCCTCCTACCTCCCCAGAGCAAGGGGGAGCAATAGGGTCTTGGAAGCTGGATCCTGAGGTCTGAGCGCCACTTACCCATTTCTGAAACGGCAATGATTATTGTAGCACACCCAGCCTGGGCACCCTTACAGGACTGGGGCTGGACACAGCCCAGGGAAGGACAGGGGCTGGGCCTGTGGGGCCTCGGGGGACAGGGAAGCAGCTGCTGGGGACGCAGCCAAGTAGCCTGGAGGCTGTGCGGCTCTGGGCCTGTTCCCAGCTGAAGGGTGGGCGCCAGCCTGACCCCGAGACTTCAGGAAATGCCTCTCGGGGCTGGACGCCCGAGGAGCCAGATTTCTCTGGAATTTGGGAGCCGAGGGTCACCCAGGCTGTGCCCCGCTCCTCCGCCAAGCAGGTGTGTAAACAAAGCCGGTGGGCACTAGCCCCACTGCGCCCCCAGTAGAAGCCCGAGTCCACCGGAAGCAAGAGCCTGGCCCTTGGTGCTCAAACGTCAGCAATCGCGGGACCCTGGCCAGACTGAAGCATGCCCACTGCCTCTGGCGGTTCCCGGGAAGCTGGGCCTTCTCGGGCGAAGGAGCCCAGCCCAGGCCCCTGCTCCGCCAGGCTGGCCCAACGTGTCCTCACTGCACAGACTGCAGCCACCCGCTCACGCAGCAACGGAGAGAGAGCA